CACGCGCGGCGAAGCCGCGCCCGCCCGGCGCAGCCGGGCCGTATCAGAAGGAGCCACGCCGGCGTCAGCCGGCGAGGCGACTGGTAAACATATGGCAACACCCTTTTCTGACCAAGGAAAGGATGGTTGGTCGAAGTGGCCATTCGAAATGAGATGTATACTGCCCGATGGGCCCTTGGACGCTGATTACAAATCTGCCCTCCATATCTGCTAAACGATTTCTGGGTCTGGACAAAGTTATGCAGGAATTTTGACCAGGTCACACCCATTTCCAGCATGTATGTGAGGCACACCAAAACCCCCAAATTCGCTGAAAATCTGAAATTAGAGGTGGTCTGGTGCTCTGGAAATCAACACTGCAGTCATTTTTCGTGAAAATATCTTGTTCGCATTCTGGAGGGGCAGGGTGTGCAGGAACCGGCAACGTCCTTGTCGAGCGCTATGCGCCGGACGATTGTGATATTCGTGTTCCGGGGTTCAAATTAGCATAAAGGCAAGTTTTCAACCAAATCTGAGATTTCGACCTATTTTCGATACAGTGGGGTAACCATAGGCAAAAAATTCCTCAACGGTCGCTGGCACTATTGCTTTTCCGCTAAATCTCAATCCTTATTAGTTATTGACGGTCCTGATCACCAATAGGACATTTTTTGGCTTCCATGAGTGTGGAATCAGTTTGGCGACACAACACAACGCAACGAATAATGCCGCCGAAACCAACAATCAGGAGTATCCTTCAGGAGTGTTCCAGAATGGCTCCATTCCTTCAGAAACAACATTTTTTGGTAAGATCAGGTCCCCTAGCCCCGCAAAAGTGCTTTTAGATGTGCAGGGAGCATTTCTGAGTAAATGCAAAACCACGGTTTAAGGGAGGATCCGAACCCTTGACCTTGCACACATGAGACCGGTCGCTGCGCCGCCACGCCATCGAGGCACGTGTTCAACGAACTCACCCATGATTGAGATACTTGCTAAGCATTTGTGGTCTCGAGCAGTGGTCTGCTCAACAAGCCTCCGTAATTCTGTTCGGAGAATAGCTTAGCAGCTTCGGAGGGCAGATTTAAAATCAGTGTCTAAAGACGCATCAGCCGGTATACATCTCATTTCAAATGGCCTCCTCGACTAACCATCCTTTCCTGGTGAAATGCCCTATGCTTACGATTCCTTTCAGGATAGGAACAACTCAAGGCGAGTCCGTTTAGAGAATGGGAGGTTAAGTACATATAGAAGTCGGTGCTTTCAGTTAGGTTTTTCTTATACTGGTC